TATATATATATATATATATATATATGTGTGTGTGTGTGTGAAGCACCGTAAATAATATATCCACTTACATAATCTACGTTTTAACGCCATAGAAAATAATTTTAATTAGTTTCCTCTCTTTTTCTTTTCTTTTCCATTACATTACACATAATAATATAAAAAAATGTTATTATCAATATATTTGTAAAATAAATTCATTTGACATATAATATTCATAAATAATTTTTAGTATTGATTTTAAATGAAATTTAACTACATTTATTATATATCACTATAATTTATATTTGTATTTTTTTAACAATTATAAGAATATTTACTGACATATATCAATCATATATTATATATAAAAAATAACTTTTTGATGATAAGTACTGTAACACTATAATAACACTATAATGTGTGTCACTCGAGAACAATTTTTTTTTTTGTAATGTTCATTCAATGATGTAATATTTTATATGAATATGTGAAGGATGGGTATAGAAAGAAAATAATAATAATCACGGTCACAAATAAACTTCAATATGGCAGAGATCCTCTATTTAGACTTTGAAATGCGGTAATTTTGTGTACGACATTTTTCATACACTCATTTACACATTTTGTTTTAATTTTTTTATCTGATCTTATTGAATGGAGTGCATATTTAACATGGGATGTAATTAATTATTATTTAATAACAACCAGCTCCTTAATTGGCACATGCAATCCCTTATCTCCAAGAGAAGTGCCACAGGGTCCGATTCCATATATCCATCGTTTATTTTAGTGGAAATATTTTTCATGTAATTCATTTATTTATTTATACACATTTTTTTACTCATCCAAACAAAAGACAATAATTTTTTTCACACTACTATTTCAATGAAAGCATCCAAACCTGAATTACTGGTGAAAAACCCCCCAACAGTTGTTTATTATATTCAAACTTTTAAAATCCAAGGTCGTGATCAGTTGTGAAACTCTATCTTGATCCCTCCAACGATGACATGCCCTTTCCCAAACTTGGGCACCAAAGTGACCACCACATGCTCATCATCTTCAGCACCCAAATCCTCCAACAACTCCGATATTCCAAGCCTCAACTTAGTCTTCATCTTCGCGTTATTGTGCTTATGCTTATGAGGCACACTCACAAAGCTTCCCGCAAACTCACTCTTGCTTGGTCCACCCTCCACATCATCTTCATCATTTATATACACATCAAACTTCACCCCCAAATCCCTCTCAAATTCTATCCCTTCTATCACCAACACCTCTTCTTCCTCTTCCTTTTCCTTCTTATTCCTTCCCTTCCTTGGCCTCTTCACAACAACACTCACACTCGAATCCAAAACCACAGGAAACTTGGTTCTTTCTTTGGAATTCGAAGTCTCAGCAGCCAGTGCTGCACCAGCACCAAACCTCTTGGCAATTGCTCTTCGAATTCGTGGCGTAGGTTTAGCTTCTAACCACGGAATATCAACATCTTGGTAAACGTAACCAAGCCTTCTAGTATCAAGACAATCTTTGACCTTCACACGAACTAGGTTCTTGTTCTCGTCGTAGAAGAGAAACCCTGATTCCAACCAATCAGGGTCTTTGATATCACTTCTCTTCCCACCAAGCGTTTTCCATATAGACCACATCCTATCAATGTTGGAATGGTGACAAAAGAAAATGGGGTCTCTGGCAGCAGAATAGAGAGTTCCCATGTCCTCTAAATTAGGTTGTGTGTTATCACCAGTCCATACATGAACAGGACCATGAGGAATATTCTCCACAATGCCACCACCAGGATCGCTATCCTCTCCTGCACGGTAAGCACTACCTGTTGGGATAAAAATAAAACTCCACATTATTAAAACAAGAAAATCAATATGAGGTTATAAGTCTCCGTTGAATTTTTTAGATGATAATTGAAAATAAATATATAAAAATATAACTCAAAATAAATAATATCATATCAATATATATAAACATATATTATTCGGTAAATAACATGATATAATATCGTTTGAAAAATATCTAAATTTGACATGAGGTTAATTAAGTCTTTTATTTAAAGAAAAAAATTGTTAAGATGTCACTTTATTTACATGAAGACGATGAATATATATGTGTTTATACCAAAGAAGAGTGATGGAGTCTTTGAACTTGACACAAGTTGCCGGTACATGATGTTGAGATTGGTTGATACTTGTTGTTGAGTTGAGGTTCGGTCTTCAATGCCGTTGTAGTCAAGGTCAACGGGTTTTGGTGGTTTATGATTTGCGTTTCGGAGGGAGTCATAGAGTGGTGAGTTGGGATCAGTGTACATGGCGGGCATTGGCATGCCATTGGGGGAGTCCCAGTTCCAAAAGGGTAGGGCAAAATTTGGGTCAAGGTCTTTGATCAAGCTTCCCAAAATTTTCTCATGGAAGTAGAGGTACCTGTTGGATACAAACAAAAATAAATAAATAAACTTAGAGCGCAATAAGATATCGCTCCTCCAGAAAAGCATATCTTTACTATACAAATGCTAAAAAAACAACCCATCAGTACCAACGGTGGAAGGGGAAGAAGAGCCACGAGTTATGAACTTGGAAGTCTAGGTCAGGGAACCCTACTTGGTGATATGCACCATCACAATAAGCACAATGGATGTTGGCTTGTTGAGTGAAGTTGCGAGGGTCGTTGGGAGGGAGAGCTTTCATGCGACGAAGGGCTTCTTTGTAATTTTGGAGGTAAGTGGCATCTACCAAGTGTGCAGCGGGTCTAACCTTAACTTTAGGGTTCATAGGAAGTGTGAAGTCTATGATGTTTGAGGAAATTGGAGGGCAACAATTGGTTGGTTTGGCGCCAGAGGGAAGGTCAGGTGGACCACACTTGGTGAGGTCTGGAGGGGAGATAGGGGCCGCAAGGGACAATGGACCATTGCTAAGGGCACCATAAAGGCCTCCTAGGCCAATGAGGACGTTTCTTCTGTCCAACATGCCAAGGTTTATGGCATCTTCTTGTGTGTCTTTGTCTTTGTTTATGTTTTTTATTGATTGGTTTTCAGGGTCACCACTTTTTGTGGCTTTGCATGGCACTTTGGAAACGTGGTATTGGCTTGGTTTTGCATTGGACTTGTGATTTCTAAATAAGGGTATGGAAGAAGGGGTACAATGGTGGGTTCTAGTGGCTGGGGAGGAAGCATTGGTCGAAACGAAAAAGGGTGGAGGGTATAGGGAAGCCATGAATATAGAATTATAGCTGAAATAATGTGTCCTTAATTAATTAAAGCTTGTGAAATCCCTCCCATTTTATAAGCAAGTTTTGTAGACTACTCTCTTGGTCAAAATAAAAGAAATTTTGAAGATTAACGGTGAGATTAATTAATAATCACGAGGATGGGGATCAACTGGTATTATAATATTTATTATTTATTATTTATCTAAAGTAAGTTTCATTGCCGTGCGAGTCACTATATCTTCCCCCGACGAATTCCAAATACAGATGATCATTGACGAATGATAAAATAATAACGATGATCAAATGACGTGCTTTACGCTAAGGGCTATTGACTGTATTTAACATAATCCTATTTGAATTTTTTTTATTATTATTTTTGTGGATATGGCCTGGAATTTTGAATCCTCTCCGTTGAAAAGATCGAGCAAAGGCTCGTGTATGCGCCTATACCTGCCTATTAACAAAGTATTCAATAGTGAGATATGTAATTTTTTTTAGGAGATCATTCTATCTTTCAAATGTAAAAAATTCTTATATATTTTTCAAATAATTTTCTATAATTCTTTAATATTTTATTTATATATAATTATTAGAGATACGACTCGACCATCTAATATAAAATAATAAAAATTTATAATCCAGCTTACTTAAGTCTTATAATTATGGATTAAAATAACTTTATATTATATTATTATTAGATAAAAAGAAAAGTTAAAATTTACTATTTACTTTTATAGCGTATGTTTGTCTACGCGTCTTTAATCCATGTCTTTTTATATTTTCAAATAAAAAGATACATCTGATGAAAAAGTCAACTGAAGTAGTTTCGATTGGACATGAAAAATCACGTCTCAAATCCAAACATGCTCATAATAAAAAAATTAAGACATAAATTAGGCCTATTCAAACAAAAAAATTATAAATCAATTTCAACGTTTATCTAACGTGATGTAAAATAAAAAATAAAAAAATACACGCTCATCTAAACGTTTCTTTTATGTATTTTTTTTTTCTTGTCAGAACAGGTTTGTGTAGTTGATGTTCCTTAGCCTTAGGAGTCCCCGTTTTCCATTGTGCTTTTGTCACCCATTTCCGCTTATATTGAAGACCAAATTAATAACAAAATAACCTTGTTGGAAATTAAATGAAAAATATATATATTTTAGTTGGCAAAGATGAACATATAAAATAATCAAAACATATATTCGGATAAATTTCTCCAAAAAAAAACATTTTTAAGATAATTTTTTTAAAAAGATAACTTATTTTGTTATAAATTAAAATTAACTTACTAATAAATTAAAAAAATCATATTTTTAAAAAACTAATATGAAACAATTTTTTACAAATTAACTTATATATTGTAACGACTTGCCATGATTAATACACTTCATGAAAATTCTCAAATAATAATAGAATTACTCATATACTTAAGATTTTATACTCACTCTATATGGATATGCACATTATGATGTATATATAAGTATAAAAGCAGCTAAGAAATAATTTTATAATATATACCATAATATATAATCATCCAATATAAAACAGTATAGAATCTTAAGTTTGCGGTCAAACATGACTATACAAGCTACACATAGTAGCACCACCATCAATAAAAAAATCACACCTTTGTCAACAACAGCTCTTCATACCTAGTCTTGATTTGCTCTTATACAATGTATAATCATCGCAGTCCAAACCATCACGAAAAACAAAAAAGGGTAAGTATAAGTTAAAAAACATGTATATATATAGAAAACAATCATATATTATACAACCTCACTCCATAAGCATACATGAAAGCTACAACACTCTAAGCAAACATGTATCTCATATAAACCATGTTACACAAGACATCAACAATGCATATGAACACACCTCAACACACATCATATGCAACATATCAACTAATGCGTCATCACACATTCATCTATAGAGATCTCCTAACAACATGAGTAATCTAAGTGATTTTCACCCTACCAAACCAACCCAATTGTTTTCACGCTCGAAGCATCGGCTCGATCACAATAAAATGGAATACCAATCTCTCCTCTAGTTTCTCAAGTATTATCACTTACACTAAGAAAGTCTAGTTCCAAGAAACACACATGCATACTCAAGGAGGGTTTTCCAAATAGTGGCCTACCCGAGCACCACTCCAAGATATCTTATGTGGGATCTTCAATTTTCAAAATAATTTCCTCTCTCCAAATCCTAAGTTAGTCATCATGCTTTAATGTCATACCGTATTCTCAGCATCTACATCTCACCATGCATCTACTATGTACATTACATTCAAACAATTCATTTAATACAGAGCATATTAATGTTCGATCATCACCATTTCAACTACATAAAGATAACATACCAATGCTCTTATTATCACTTCAACTACACAAAGATAACATATCAATGCTTATTATCATTTTAACTACACAAAGATAACATACCAATACTTATTATCATCATCCTACATCATATAACATGCAATAGACATAAGTATATTGTATTCATGTTCACCAAATTCACTCATCATACAATATGTATCAACGTATAACATAAAAATTAATCACTTATTATTCAATGACAACTTTCACATAAAACAATGCATAGGAAGTTCTACTACTCCTATCATATTCATCCTTATCTCATATGAAATATAAGAAGATTTTATACATCTTTCATGAAGAACTTAAGTTTTAATTCCATCATCTATCATGTTGAAAATTGTAAAACCGCAATAGTTTGTTTAAATGCTAATAACTTGACTTTTACTCATTAAAAATGTCATGACTAGAGTTCTAGATCTCCTTTTTAGGTGATTTCAAAGCCATTGAAAAGCTACCATCCAAGGCTACACATTTCATGAGGACTTAAAGATCAAATTTGATCATTTACCTCCACCACCGTAGTGCTCAATTCAACGCTTCAATGTTGGGTCTCAGCCAGCCCAAATTTCCCCACAGTTGTAGCGCTCAACCACGACTGAGGTGCTGAGTCTTGGCCATCCCAATTTCTCACACGGTGCAACGCTCAACCATGGCTATGTTGCTAAGTGCAAATTTTTCTCTCATTTTTATGACTTCCCCTTGGTTCCTCACTTGTACTTTACTAATTTTCCTCCTAAACACTATCTATAACTTATTATTTCTACTAGATTCATTCATGCAGCCCAAAAATCACAAAAAAAAAACAACATGCATGAACCAAAACTCAAAGAAATCATTAGCATTTTAACCTTTCATCAAGAACATCAAAACCTCAGTTTCAACATGCAACCAACTTCGAATCCATCTCCACAGCTACAAATTTCAAAAATTCTACCAACTTTAAGCTCTTAATTTATTCAACAACCCAACATTTTAACCAAAACCCAATATTCCAGCTTTCCTCACCTTGATTCCAAGCTCTCTGAGAAAGAAGAAGAAGAAAAGAATAGAGAACTCCTAAAGCTTCGACTACTTGAATAAAGAGAGGGAAGAAGAAGCAACTCCAGACTTCCAAGGTAGCACCCACCACCGGCATAACTTATTTTTCCTCTTTCATGGTTCAACCACGGAGAAGGAAGGAACTTCAGCCACAAGGCTCCCAAACACTCTCAGATTTGTGAAGAGAAAAAGAAATACATAATTTAATTAATATGAATTAATTTTGATTTGAATATATATCTTTCTATTTACTATTATTACTTATAAAATTTTGAGTAATAATTAAAACAATTTAAAAAAATAAGCGATCTTTTACTGATTAATTAGTTGAAAATAAAAATATTATTTTTCATTCTGATTGATTGTCCGAAGAAAATTAAATTTTTTATTTGGATATGCAATTAAAAAATCCTAAAAATAACAGAAAGGTGGTATGGCCTATAACAAATTGTCCAAATTAAAGGAAATATTGTGATTTAACTTTTATGCACTTAAGGTATTTAAGTGAAATTAAATGGTCTAACTAACTGTAATTAAACACATAATCAAGCATTGAATGATCATTAAATGCTAACTTAAGAAAATTTCTAATTAATTATTTTCTGTACTGAAATGTATATAATATGTTTAATAACATATATTAGAATAAAATAAATAAAATTATTAGTATTTATAAATAAATAAATATACAATAAGAAGAAAAAATATATACTTAAAAGTATTTAAAATTTTACTTTATCGATAATAAAAATACAGAATATACTGTCATTCAAAAAAGTAATAATAATTTACAAAGTTTTAAGAACTAGTTTTAATTGATAAAAGAATTATTTATGATTTGAATATATTTATATTTTAAATTTAATTATAAAACATTGAGTATTATTTAAAACGATTTTAAGAAATAAAATATATTTATTAGATATTCGATTAAAAAATAAAAATGTATTATTTTGATTGTGATCGATGGTCTGCAACAAATTTAAATATTTTATTTAAATTTCAATTGAAAAATATAAAATATATATTTTGCACCAAATTATCCAAATTAAATGTAATTTAGCAATTTAATTTTTAATTAATAAATTTCAATCAGTAGTAAACTTTAAAAAAAATGTGCTTAAAACAATATACTCTAATATTTCTCTTTTGTGTCATATCATATAAAATGTTAGGGATGACAAAATGGGATAGTTTAATTTATACAAATCCAACCTGTCAAAAATGGCCGAGATGGCCTATCAAAAGAAAACGAACCACAAACCTTGATTCATCATACCTAAGGATGGGTTGGCGAGCAAATCCAACTGCCCACTAAAAAAAGATAAAAAGATTAAAAAATTAATATTTATTTTGAGTTACTCTTTTAATATTTTTTAATATCTAAAGAAATTACATAAATCAATATATTTAAATAAAATCTTAAATTACATATAATAAAACAAATCAAATGTACAACAAATTTGTTATACAATAAATCACTGATATTATACACAAAATAAATTTGAAGTGATTTAATTAAATTTACACTAAAAATAATAAATAAATAAAATTAAAAAATTAAAAAAATTTATTAAAAAAAAAAAAAAGGTTGGCAAAGCATGTCAGTCGAGCTGACAAGCTAAAATACCTAGATCGATCCATCAACTTTTTACGAGTCAACAAGCCATGAACTGTTTTGCCACCTTTATATATAAAAAAAAAAACTAATTTTATTTCAAACCAATATAAGGGTGACATTAACTAAAATAATTTTAGGATTATTGAGATATTCCATATTATTTTACACTAGTTAGCATGTAGCATAAAACATAAAGTTGCATTAACAAATTTACTCAATATATGACATTTAAAGTGTTTGAAAAACATATTTAAGGTGTGTTTGTATTGATTTTGTCATCTTCGATGTAATAGCTTAATTTACGAGTGATTTTCCACTAAACGTGCGTTGACAATTGAGAAATTTGCCTACCAAACATACACTTAAAAGTGAAAAACCATTTTTACTTGTGACAAGGATCACGACGAAAACATTTTATCTAAGGCTAAAATATCTTCTTTTTTTATATTTTATTTTTTGTCATCTTGATTTTAGAAATTATTTTAATTTTTTTATCTTTTAAATGTTGATTTTGGTCTTTTACTTTTAAATTTAGGTTAATTTGGTCATTCTAAAAAAATGATCATTTTTAATTTTAATACGTAATTTTGAGAAAAAAATATTTAATTTAAGATGTGAAACTTAATTCATTAAATTCATTTAAGTAAAAACTATTGAATCTGGTCCATGTTTAAACTAAAAGGAGTCCCAAAAATGATGAAAACTATGTAAAAGTGAGTTTAATGAGAAACTAAAAATTTAAAAAATTAATAACAGATTATTTTCTAATTGCTTATTTTTCATGACCCATTAAGTATATTTCTTCTGGATTCCAACATGTAAACTAGTTTTATAATTTTTATATAAATGAATTTAATGAAATAAGTTTTATGTTTCAAACTAGTTAAAAAATTTAAAATTGTACTCTAAAATTGAATATAATTATTATTTTATAAAGATTAAATCGCGTAAAATTTAAATGATAAAAAATCAAAATAAATATTTCAAAAGATAATGAAAAAATGAATATTTAAAATAAAGAAAAGCAAGTATAATTTGACTATGTACAAAATTTAACCAGTATCTCATATATGATATTTTCAATAATGTTAGAAAATAATTTAGAAAAGAGATTAAAAAAAACTGAGAGATCTCATTTCAGCTAGATGAATTGGTATTTTTTTTTTATATAATTAAGGAGATATAACTCCATCTCACCTTATAGTATAATAATTTCTTAACGATTGCATGAAAAAAAAATTAATTACACTAAATTAACACAATAACATAATCATTCATATACTTAGTTGTTGCAAAATAATAATATCTATAATAACAGCTCTTTATTATGAATTTATGGCAGAGAAATACATTTTATCGGCCTTGGAGTCAGCCATGTACGTAAGAACCATGCATTACCATTATATTACATACTGATTAGTAATTATAAATAATATTTAATCTGCAAGAAGCTCTATCTTGATGCTTCTGATTTTGACACGCCCTTTCCCATACCTAGGAACCAGCGTCACCCTAACACTATCATCATCTTCCACATCCAATTCTTCCAACAAATCCGTCAGTCCCAGCCTCAAATTAGTAACCATTTTCTTGTTTTTGTGCTTATGCGAGTGAGGCACACTCACAAAGCTTCCTGCAAACTCAGTATTATCTGGTCGAATCAGCTTGTCATCTTCATCATTGATAAACACATCAAACTTCACGGCTACGTTTCTCTCAAATTCAATCCCTTCAATCACCAGAACCTCCTCCTCCTCTTCCTTCTCCTTCTTGCTCCTTGACTTCTTCGGCCTCTTCACCATCGTGCTCACAACAGAATCCAACACCAGCGGAAACTTCACGTTCCTTGAAGTCTCAGCAGCATGTGCTGCACCAACACCAAAAGTTTGAGCCAGTGTTGACTTTTGAACCTTTGGCTTCCGTGGTTTAGGCTTAGATTTCAACCATGGAATGTCAACCTCTTGGTAAACATACCCTAGCTTTGTTGTGTCAAGACAGTCCTTGACCTTCACACGCACGAGGTTCTTATTCTCATCGTAAAAGAGAAACCCGGATTCTAACCAATCCGAGTCAGTGAAATCCCTTCTTTTGCCACCAAGTGTTTTCCATATAGACCACATCCTATCAACGTTGGAATGATGAGAATAAAAAATAGGGTCCCTTGCAGCCGAGTAGAAATTCCCCATATTCTCATCGTTAGGTTGGTTGATATCACCGGTCCATCCATGAACAGGACCATGTGGAACGTTCTCTAAAGAGCCAGCACCAGGGTCAGGTTCATCCCCAGCACGGTAAGCACTTCCAAGAAATAACGTAGAAGTCTTCCCATTAGTCACAATTTGTCTATACATTATGCTGAGGTTGGATGAGATATCTCCAACAGCGTTAGGATCATCAAGGTTGAAGTCAAGGTCTACAAGTGTTGGTGGTTGATGATTGGCATTGCGGAGAGGGTCATAAAGAGGCGATTTAGGGTCTGCATAGATGGAGGGAAGTTGCATGCCCTTAGGAGCATCCCAGTTCCAAAATGGAAGGGCGAAGGTGGGGTCATTGATCAAGCTTCCCAATATTCTTTCGTAGAAATAGAGGTACCATCGGTGGAAGGGGAAGAAGAGCCAAGAGTTGTGGACTTGGAGATCAAGATCAGGGAACCCTACTTGGTGATATGCACCATCACAATAAGCACAGTGGACGTTGGCTTGTTGGGTGAAATTGCGTGGGTCATCTTTTGGGAGTTTTTTCATTAGGTCAACGGCTTTTTTATATTTGGTTAAATAGTCATTGTTGACCAAATGTGATGCTGGTCTTACCCTCAAGGGTTGGTTAGAGGAAGGGAACTTGAAATCTATGATTGTTGTGGAATTGGGGGGCAACAATTGGTGGGTTTTGCACCATCAGGTAGGTCTGGTGGACCACATGTGGTTAGATCTGGAGGGGAAACTGGGGCAGCAAAGGCAAAAGGGTTGTTGTTGTTTAGGGTAACAGCACCACAGAGTCCTCCTAGGCCAACCAAAACGCTCCTCCTATGTCCTACAATATGTTGGAGTTGTTCTCCTTCGGATGTGTTTGGGTTTGGTGTTGGATTGTTTTGGTTTCCACTACCACATGTTACTCTAGGAATGTTATAACGTTTTGGTTTTCTATTTTTAGCTGATTGGAATTGTGAAATTGGAGGAAAGGAAGAAAGGGCATTGGTGGAGTTGGAAGAGAGATTAATGTTGGCTAAGGACACGAAAGATAGATGAGAGATAGAAGCCATTTTCTATCATGAAAATTTAGACCTTTGCATGTCCTTTTTATAAGGAACTCGTGAAGAACTTTCTCTTGAATTTGTGTGGTGCTGATAGCCTCCTAAAACTTAATAATTTCTAACACACGAGAAGAAATTAACAATATGTTGACATTTAGCCTATCGGGATTCAAATTTTGTAGTTGGTAATGTTTGAATTAAGACCAACGTGAACAATTTAAGGTGCATCTGCAAGTATTAGCAGACAGCTGTGATCTGATCTAGTTGGTGCTTCATCGAGATTTCGTTGGCACACGCAATTGAAGTCTACATGAAGAAGGTTTACACGCAACGTCCAAGTACGTAGTATTATGGAACACCGAACACCCTCTTACTAGACTTGAGAAAACGCATACTTGACTTAAATTCACGCATGTGCGTACTTAAATAACCTGGGCAGCTTATTATTAATTATGCAAATGTTCTTTTTTCGATCTAGTTGAGAAATTGGGTAATTGATTTTTTGACTGGATTTTTTTTTTCTCATCGAGGAATCGGTTATCCAGAAACCAATTTCTCAACTGACTTTTTTCATTTTTTATTTATTTTTTAAAATTTTAAAATTTAATTTAATTTAATTTAAAATTCAGAATTTGAAAATTATTTTGAATATTTAAATTTTATTTTTTAATTTTATATATTAAATATTATAATTAAATATTAATTATAAAAATTATATTTAATTTTCAAATTTTATATTAAAAATAAAGATAATGTAAAAAATTATTTATTTATAAAAATATAGTTATTTTTAAAAATTATT